CCAGCCAGCCACACACAGACAGGCATGCACAAACCCACGACATTTTGAGGAAATTAGTGTGATCTGAAAATTATTTGCAATCAAGGCAAAACCCTGTGTGTTCAATAGATTGGACAAATTTTTCTCAAGTATTTAGTTTGATTAAAAAAATAGAAGGCCACAGGGAACTGACTGAAGCATTTTCATTGGCTCCGGTTGTTGTTAGTCGCTAAGGTATGACTGTTCAGAACTTGTGGTTTGCACCACACTGCCTCACATTGCTAAGTTATATCAATGTATCTGGTAAAGGCGCTCAAAAGGACGAGTTCCCACCAGCATATCAAGGACTGAGCAGGAGATGTANGACAGTGATCTGTATGGTTATATGGAGAAATATTGAATCATGACTAAGACTAAATGCATGCATAACCATCTGACATAACTAACCAGGTGCTGTTTGTTCTTCATTGTAATTCAAGCTGTAGAGCTTGGGAATCCTCGTTGGTTTCGGTTCGTTTGCCGATAACAGGGCAAAAAGTAGGCACTACCAATGAGTTTCAGCAACGACGAAGACGAAACTGCTGTTCGCTGATCGCTGGTGTTCATCACAGAAACTTCGACCAAACATTCCTGTTTTAAACCTGATCAGATCAATTCAAGTTGCAATATGTGCAACCGACGAATTGAATTCCTGATGATGTATGAATTCATTCAGTGGATATATGGCAACTGAAACGAACCAGAGATCAATTTACAACTAAAAAGTAGGGGAAATGTAAAGGAGGAGGTGACTGTCATGTTGATGTTGACATATTATATCTCGTCGCGGAACTTGTCACACAAATCAACATGTTTTAAATCAAAAATGAACAAAAGCGTTCAATCCCTTTTGTAATAAAAGTTAAACAGGTGTTGTAAAACCTGTGAAATCGTTTTTAAGTTAGCTCAAGCAGAATTGTTTGAAGGCAGTTCATCGTTTTCGGGAGATTGTGGACAATCACAAATTTAGGAATCAGGTTTTGCGAAGCAAATGGATTTCTAAACCCGTATTTGTAGAACAAAACCCTGCGGACGTTTACGAAAGCGGTTAGAACAAAAGTGAAACATGAAAGGATACCTCATGTGCTTTGGAATCAAAAAAGTATTTTCTAATAAATGCCGAAGAACACGGAGGTTCTGAACGTCCTTTTTAAGGCCTGTCAGAAGTGCATTCCTATCTTCTATGACACTGTTGACAACTATCTTTGGCGCTGATCACGTTTTCGTTTACTCATCAATGCTTTGCATGATTGACTTACGACTAGAATGGGAAGACTTTGTTCACTCACCTGTGAATGCTTCCATTTCAAGGTCATATCGACAAACAAGTGTTATTAATTGACTTTAATATCCACCTGCCTGAAGTTTCACATTTAATGCTAAGTTACTATAGACCGTTTTTTATCAAAACACAATCGTTATTTTCGATCATAGGAATTAGCGCTTAAAGATCAAAATACGATCAGAAGCGTGCGATTCATTAAAAAAGGGTTTCTTTTTCTCGCTTTCCATTGCAGTTTTCACAGGGTGTGCGTCGTTATCCAAATGGGCAGGTGAGAATTCCATCAGTCAGTTCACCAAACGGGCTCCCCGTACATCGGACACGCCCATCGAGTCCGGACGGTACCAGCCCGGAAACGGTTCTGCCGGCCAGTTCAAAACCACGACCACCGACCACTGATTGGTCACGTGACACGCATATCGGCCCTCAAGATCGACATGTGAACAGGGACTACTACGGGATTTTGGGCATGATTGGAGATAATGATGCTTCCGAGGGAACGGAAGAAGATGAGGATGAGGAGCAATTCTGGCACCCACAAAACCTGCCCGGCGCGGATTTGAAACGGTCCGCTTTTGGACAGCATGCTCGGATCACGGAAACGTCAGAGGATACGGATGGAAGTATTCCCTCGGACGATTCACATCGATATCCCGAACACATGGAATCGGGCCCATTCTATATCGGATCTGGTGACCGACTGAATCAATCGTGGCATGAACGAGATCGTCATTTATGTGAGTCGTTCTCTCTGAACAGACCAATTAAAAGGAAGAGAATATTATTGCTATTCAACTTCCAAGTGTTTGTGGTGTTTGGATTAGCACCAACGTGAAAAATCAAAACTAATTTTCGGTGACTACGTTTCGATCCTCTTCTGAGGGCTTTTCAAGTTAATTAACAAGCGATCATTAAACAAATTGGGAAACTAACCGAGTCAGAGGGACGAGGTTTTGATCGGTCAAAGGGAAGGAAAACATTGTGTGTAGCAATAAATGAGATTATGGAAAGTGCTGAATGAACAAGAGGTTAGAGAGCTAACGGTGACGTCACGCAAGATCGAGGATCAGATTCAGTGATGAATGTTTTGTGTGTGTCGAGATTTAATACTGTGTGTAAGTGTCCGTCGGTATGTGTTATTGCATGGGCAAGTGACATCAGACTAATGAACTGATAATTGGGCCAATCGTCCAATCGATTGACGCGTTAGAGTAATCGTGTTCTTAAAGTTTGTAGAGCTTCTCTCAGAAATGGAATGCAAAGTAACAGCGGATATCTCTTTCGAGGATCTTAAACTCTGATGCCGTTTTGTAGGGTGCTTGTCAGAAGTTCGGATACGGGTTTATTAAGTTATCGAGTTACTCGGTCGTAAATTCTAACCAACCTCATCACACTGGGAAGCCCAGGAACCGGTTGGTGCTTCAGCTGTGTTACGGTACTGATTGAACGGGGCCCATCCAAATCCCGTCTACCCGGGACAAACTGATTTCTTCGTACAAAAATGAAGGTAATTTTTCAGTGAATACCCTAACGACGATGAAAGCTTCGAAGGGGTTGGGTGGGATTTGACTGCTCGTCCCCCCACACCCCTCCCGGTTACGTCATGTCCTTGACCGTTGATAGTATGAACTTTAGACGAGAACTAACAAACCCGGTGGTGATTGCTCTCGATCAGCCGAGTAAGGAAGCGAGTCATGTCAAAATGGATCGATAATCAGTCACCGATCAGGCGTAAATGTAGAAATGAATCGTTGCGTGAGTGGTTTCAATCTAGGCCCTCAATTGCCTAGTGAGTAAATTCCATTGAACCAGAGATTCCTTCAAGTAATGCTGATTGCTTTGAACCAGATGCAACTGCCCGCGTATTTCTGGCATTGTAAGGTACACTTGATGAAAATTTTAATAATTATATTAATTAATTATATTATATTTATTGATACTATTATTAGTGAAAGAATTGAGAGAGTATGAATAGGAAGATCAAATTTGACTTTATTAACTAACTTACAGAAATTACATTTAATGTGTCTCTACATTACCTGGATTGACGACTGCATTCCACGCCATGATAACAATCTGTCACATACAGCTTCTTCCTCCGCTGTCCAGTTTTATCGCATAAGTTCTTATACTAGTTACATCTTTTATCATCCCCATCCTATGGTGATAATAATAACTCAGTTATAGATGATTCTACAGGGAATGATAGCTTCGTACCGGGTGCTTCATGCCGCAATAGTAAGAGGTAAGTACAGTATTTCACTTACGGTTAACTCATTCCTAGATTCCAATATACGAGAACTAAATTACAAATTGACATCTGTGATAACGTTCCCGGCAATATGCAGCTCCACCAAACGTGTACATTCAATGGCCTACCGCTTTCACAACATCTGGTCATTTTAAGGGAAGGAACAGTGTGAATAAATAGGTGGGTGGTGATTGTCCGTTGGTTGCAGTATACAACTTTGTTAGTCTGTTAAACAAAACAAAACGTAGACTGAACGCACTCATGCAATGATTCACGTCTAATAATGGTGGTCGAGGTGTCAATCCATCTTGTCGTGATTCGCCTCCTTACCCCGCCGAGTTCGTCTTACGTCACTCGATCCACGGTTAGGGGAACAGAGTTCTAGGGGGAGGTGAGGAACGAACAGTCAAACCCCACCCCGCCTCACCCCACCGCGTTACACCGAAACTATCATCGTCGCTTTCGGAGTGTGGAGGAATCAGTTCGTACCGATTGGACGTGGTTTTGAAAGGCCCGGACCAATCGGTGGCATGCGACGGCTAAGCGTCGATCAGTTTCTGGGGTTCCCGGTAGAATACGACTGGCTAGATCCACTTGAATTTACGGGAGGATTCACCTGAAGTTGACAAGATATAGACTAGAATCTCGGTAACTTTTTGAGCTCATCCTTGGTGCTCATTCCCTTTCTCATCCAATTTAGTAATCGTACAGCTTTAGCATAGGAGGTTTTGGTTGAATGAGCCAACCAGGGATTCCGCGTGCTCTAGTCTACTTGAAGGTCTATCACCAGGCATCAATCGTAGACATTAACACGGATGTAGAATAACACGCACAGTACAGTTTTAAACTTTATTAAATACATTTGGTTGAATCGATGGACTGAGGATTGTGCGTGAAGGGGAAGTCCGAAAGATAGTCAGTCAAATCAACCAATATCAATTATCCCACACGCACTAATCCCAAGTAACTGAATTAACTTCGAAGTTTTTAACTTCTTGGAAAAATGAGCGACAGGATAGAAGCTCTCAGTTGCACGATTTATAGCGAAGTATATTTTGTTGTATCACACAACCGGTGCACCATGGAAGCAAACAACACTTTATACCGCCGCATAGTACATGGCAGTTACACAAGAATGCTATAGAGAAAATGGTCGAACTTCTAACCTTGTCAGGGCACACGTCGAGTGATTAACAGTTCGTTTTACACACACACACACACACACACACACACACACAGAGTTCAGGTTTCCACTGTCAAAATGAAACTGACCATGCGGATCTAAGTACCGAGCGGTTGGTGTTAGCAAACAAAACGTCCGGTTGGTCGGGTTCAGGTCGTGATATATCGAGCGATATCCAGCTATAGACGACCAAGTTTGCTGTTCTGTTTGGTATTTTTGGATAAGGGTGGTAATTGATGGTGATATAATTTTGTTGATTGCATTAGTGTGAGATGATGCGTGTGGCCCCATTTAATTCTTTGAATTGGAGAACGAATGTTGATCATGTGACTCGGTCAGTCAGAGTCTAACCCAACATATGATATGCTCCGGGATCTGCGTGTGCAACTTCCTATTTGTTAGACCAGTTTAAGATGCGTCGCATTTACATCAGAACTAATGTATTTCGTGTGATTGTGCTTTGTGAGTGGAGTGGAAATGATTTTGTTGTGTGCAGGGGGATGTGGCTGGCAGCATAGTCACTGCATTCCACCACCTTTCTCAATCGGTCTTAGAAGATCAGGTTGACTTCATCTCTTTCGTAATACTTATCCTAAGGGACATCTCTGACAATAATGATTTGCACTTTGGTGTTCGACTGGACTTCTTAATGACATTCCATCTGGCGTGTCGCACATGGATGTGCGTATATATGTAAGAGACTGACGTTAGAACACGGAAAACGAAATCGATCCTACAAGGAACACTTCCACGAGGGGAGATTTGATTTAGGTCCGTTGTTGCTGCACTATACAACAACTAGTCTTTGACAGGCTCAGTGAACTTGGACTATACAGCAGGAGTGACATCACCACACGGATGTACAGTTCGTGACAACAAGAGTATTACAAATATACAAGCCAGTATTCTGCCAGTCTCATGTTGGGGTGAGGGATTCCAAGTGCCGCAAATTATGGAACATGATCCAATCAGATCACCGAAGGGGTTAAAGGGAATTTACTTGGTCGAGGTCACGGGTGAGAGGGATAAGACAAGGTGAAACGATGCAGCAATGGTACTGTAGTCCATATCGGCCTCTGTGCTCAATCACATCTTGGTGCTCAGCTTTTTTATCAGCCATCGTAATAAATGCTTTTTAACCACGCACCACACTGTTTCGTACAACAATACAACAGTACAGCACAACAGATCTGATACTGGTTCAGTGACAACGAAACCTTTATCCGTCAAACTGCGAGCCATCGTACGTAAATCTGAGTTATGAAAGGCAGATAGCTTTTATTCAAACTAGTCTTCGTCATATTTTGCAAAATAGCAACCCAATAGAAGATGAATTTATCTAATATTCCCTTGTGGTCATTACACACCTCCATCGCATAGAGAATAACCAAATATGTACCAAAGTCTGTTGGGAAACCACTGGGCCACCAGGACAATTATTAGCAGAACAGGGTTCGTAAATACGCAGACAAAATTATACCAATTGGCATCCGAAGTTCTTCTGCGAGCGCCATCATTTGAGCGGAGTTTCCACCAAACATCATTACCATTCACATATCTGAATGTGTCAAGCTGAAGTGTGGTTATAAAAGTTTATGAGCGTTTGATTCCTTCATCACTATGGATCACTATATGTTGTTATACAACATGAGCTAAACATACATCACCGTTATGCATCAAATCCTTTTGATTCCGTTTTACTTTTGCATTTCTTGCGCCTGTAAACAGATCCGATTCCGTGTGATACTGCAGTCGCCAGTGGATCTCACTACACGGGCCCTTACCGTGTGCAAAATTACGAAAATACTGTGTTCCAAGTACCTAGACCGATGTATGTTCACGAAAATCCGTCTGGTGGTGAGCCCGATTTGTACTTCAGTCCACAGACCGACCCAAGGTTCTATCAGCTTCGTCGAGGTTTAAGTTTTGATGAACATGAATNATGAATATGCCCAGCTACCGACCCCAGAATTTCCCCGCGGTTCGGCTCTCTCCGCCTACGGTCCATCCACATCTTATCCGGCCATACCTGAGGAATCTGCAATGACAGCAAGACGTAAACGTCGTTGGCCTTTCCGTCAAAGTTCGGATCCAATGTTAGCTGAAAGGAATGCCAACATGTCGCATGCATTTGGGCAAGTAAGAAGCCCATTGCTTGGTTATGGCGAGTCCTATACATGCCGCCTGCCTCCCATAGATGAAACACCGGATCTGACTAATAAATCAAATCGCCCGACATTTTATGCTGTACCTCCACCATCTGGGCCTAGTACCATGGAGTCTTGCGATTTATACGCAAACTTAAGCTGTCCGCCACCTTTGCGGCATGTTCAGCCCCGACCTCCAACCGTTCCTGATCCTCCTGGTTCATCTATGCTTCAACCAAGTCAACACAGTGCAGGTTTTGGTCAAACATCTGCGTTCAGATCAGCGAATGATTTGTGGAACTGCCGATCGTCAAGACAGTATGCTTATTCTTCTGCTCCCCCGGCGCAACCCTATCCATTCAACCGGACATTTAGTACCAGTGATATGACTCACCGGATGCCCCAGCAACCATTAGATGTTGGTTACAGTAATCATTTCGCCAATCAATCTATAGCTGGAATGGGTCAATCAATGCCAGTGGGTCATCGACCTGGTTGGCCCACCTTAGCAGACTCTCCTACACAAACCGAGTACGAACCGGACAATTCGATTCCGGATGCAGATCGTTCGCATGAACAAAGAGAGTGAACTTTAATTTTTCAGGATTGACCTAACGGTTTACTTCCAAGTGTATTTTTGCGATTAGGCCCTATAACAAGGTCCTGCCAACCACCTACCAACCCATTCATTCAAATCTTGTCAGGCACAGTGTCCACAAATCCAAAAAGAACCGATTATAACGGTTCTAATGCGGATTTATTTTGTTGACTATTTAAAAATTTCCTGTAAGCGGGCTTACGTTATTTCTACTTCATACACACAATAAAAGGTTACTGTTTTAACAATTCAAGAAACGCTCCCTGCAGTTTCATCTTATCCCTCACTCCAGTCTGCAATCCCCACCCCACCCACCTCACCCCAATCATTTCTTCTATGTGAATCCGAAACCGCGTCTGTTTTGATTTGGTCCTCTGTCTGCCGTTTTTTACACGAAACTTTTCACTGTGATTTGTAATGTGTGCGTGTGTGTGTTTGTGTGTGACTGAGGTCCGACAGCCGTATTCAATCCCGTATCGACAGCCTTCCGGCCCTACATCCCACCACAATCCACTCATTCGTGATGTGTGTGGGATCGCAATTGTCCTGTGCTATGCTTGAATGTGTGTGTGCACGTGCATGACTAAGTTCTTCGTGAAACGATTCTGTGCAATCTATCTTCCGTGTGTGGTGCGTACGTGCGTATTTTGTTATATACGACCCACTATGCCAACTGGTTGAGAAATCAGGAACAACATTTTGTAGATATATTTATACACGTATCCACCTACTCAATTTCAAACTACTAAACCCTTCATATATATACAAACAAATATAAATGTCTCTATGCATTATCAAAGCTTTATCAGATACCTGATATCACACTGAATTGAACCGTTCTCATCGGGGCTTGTGTTGACTTTCAGGTTGGCGAAATAAAATCATTGCGGTTTAGGCTTGATCAATCCGGACTAAGAAGAATGAAAACCACACCCTACATAAGAGTAACTGTCTCAATTAGTTCTGCAGTTCAGGGTGTGATTTATCATTTCCTGACCGAATGAAAATTGGGAAATATCACGACAGTCTGAGGAAATTATGGTATTTTTTACGCAGTTGGTATTGGTACCATTACGCCACTAATACATTGACGCAATTCGAGTACTCGGATCTCCACACTGGAAAGCCCACCTCTGATGTCTTCATCTTCTAACCTGGCAGCATTTGACTGACTGCATTCCAGATCGGACTTTTTAAAGTACATAATGAACTATACTCGCTGCGACTACATCCAGCCACCAAACAGACATACTGCTAAATCCGAATACGGATATCCAGGCCAAAGTTTAGTGATGCGCAACTTCAGAAGTCCTATCCGAACGCTCTCGAAGCTTATTCGCACCCATACAATAGTGAATAGGGCCTATGCCGAACCGCCAAAATGAACAATATCAATTGAGAATTAAAGTGCAAACGGGGGAGGTCACCACTCTGTTCATTAAACAAGCGATCAGTTAAATAATAGAGCACACATTTGCATGGGTCAGTTCGGCACACAGGTGTGATCCAATCCGAATACGATTGAGCAACCGGATACGATAATCGGTGGACAGAGTTAGTCAGACCATATCAGGGTCAGGAGACGGGGCGGTGGGG